TCAATTTTTTCGTCAGTGTGGAGTGATTCGCGAGCGGAATACCTTCAGTCGCTGCTCGGCCTGCAAGAGTGTATACTACTGTTCGAAGCAATGTCAGGCTCTCGATTAGCAGGTTGGAGAACACCGAAGGAGTTGTCGATTTCCTGACAAACTTTGTCTCAGTCGGTTGTCTCGGTCGGTTTTTGCTTCCGTTACCGAGAGCATCATGTTAACCAGTGAATGGCAGGTGAACGTCAGAATTAAAAGACGCGACAGGGAATTTATGCGGCTATTGCTCCATCACGACTACGAGGCAGCCAAGATTATGGATTCCATTTATCCGGATTTTATTCACCAATCGGTATCCAAATAAAGTCTTCCTCGCCAGCTTCGACTACAGCTCAGACCACCCCATCATCGAGGTCCACCCGATCTGCACCTCGGCGGACATTAGTGGAAAGCTAGCCGGCCCCGAATGGGACAATGCTATCCAGCGCGCATTATCGAGCGATGCGAGACTGAAACTCCATGTCATGACCGTGTTCGATGACGGCGGGGACCGATTCTGACTGATTCCTCTGCGCAATCAACTCGAGCCTGTACGACGGACTAAGAGGCTTGAAGGTCAATATGCCAGTTGATATGAGTGAGAGGCGTGGATTTGATCGGAATTCATTAGAGCTGGTACCTGGCCAGCGGTGGGACCCGGTAGCTCGAAGAATTGATGGGACCCTCGCTAGACGGCTTTATAATACGTCCAGACTGTTCAAGATTCTTTGAGATATGTCGTAAGTGAGATACATGGATATAATGGTCAGCGTACGAAGCGAGTAATCCAACCCGAGGCTAGGAGTCGGACCAGATCTATCGGCGGTTATTTTTCTTGCCCGAAATACCGATCCAGATGGTTCTCTACGCTAGTCAAAACAACATGGGGAATGTACTGCTGACGAAACATACTTGGAGTGGCTGAGCCTCTGGCAATTGTCGCAGCGTTGGAACAAAGATCGACAGACCAAAGTCTATCTTCGAGAAGCTCCCAGTTTTAATTTATATGACGTACGAAAGGACGCAGGACTAACACTCACAATTTTGCATCAATGAATCAAAAGCTATCGTACACTGAGCCCTATCACTTCAGACAGCTTATTTTTAGGATCGCCGGCTCCGAGGCGGCCACGGGCGGGAGAGGAAAGAACTCGGTCAGCATTACCAATTTTAGGCGGCTAATACAACAAAACTGGTATCTTATCAAGTTGATATAAGCGCGCGCGGGCGGTGGCGGGCGGCGAATATATGTCGTCACGTGATTTTCGGTTGAAGTTGGCACTGAACAGTTCTGAGTGGACACCGAACAGTAAAGCAGAATATCAACCAGAATATCAAAAGTTGTTTGGAGACTAATTTTGAAAAAATTGCCCACAGGAGGGAAGCCCAACTTTCCCCGACGTTCTTAGATTTGTACAGCTGCACGGATTCGGATTACCGAACTCTCCGCAATATCGATTATTGGATCTGTCATTCTCCGATGTATATTTTTATGTTGACATACTACTTGTGACATAAAATTTATTCCGTCTCTGGATTCGTTCTTTAAAAGACACAACCCTGAGAGCTGTCCTTGGAAATCCGTTTTCCTTTCATCTTTGCAAATCCTATCAGAGAATCTCACAGTATGAACGCTATTTTCTACCATGGCGTAATCAAAAACGCTCCAGCTACTAAGATCACGCTTCCTAACTCGTTAATTTCTCGCAGGTCAAAAATTTTGAGGTTCGCGCCGACGTCCCCATCGCAGATGTAGAGGCCGATCAGGTTCAAATCAAAGGTTCGATGAGACCTATACATAATTTTGTTTACCGAGCTCCGAGCGCATTTATAGTGTCCGCATGCGGCGTCTGCGGAACGGACAGGTATGTTGTGTTCGATATTCGCGTATTTACTAATAGCTGTCTAGCCACATCGCCAAGGGTGGGACCCAATAACCTACATCGGGAGCTTCCCAGCTGACTTGAAAGTCTGTAGGGGAATTTCTTACAAAGTTTCCGGTATGATTAATGGGCTGGCTACCTCAATTGCATAATATTTGATTGTGTGTCGCCCCTAGTTCATCCCAGGCCATGAAATCGTTGGAACGATTTCGAGTATCGGCACATCGGTGAAGGACTTCAAAAGTGGTGACAGATGCGTCTTAGATCCGGTTGTGACCTGCGGTAACTGCTTTTATTGCAGGCGAGGGAAATCCCTTTTCTGTGAGAACTTTGACGGGCTAGGAGCGACACTCCCGGGCGGGTTTGCGGATTATGTGACTGTGTAGGAGTCTAAAGTTCAATTATTTATTGCTAAAATAAATCATCCCATTGTTCGATACAGGGCGAGTAACAAGGTCCATCACATATACAGTCTCACGGACGAGGAAGCGACTTTGATTGAGCCAGCTGCATGCGCTGTCCACGGTGCTGATAAACTGGGCCTTCCGGTTGGATCAGAAGTTTTGATCTTGGGTGCTGGACCTACCGGTGTGTGGTGCTTCCGGGAGCTTCAGATTATCCAGGTTCATTTTTTGACTCCAGGATTAATTCTTGCCCAGCTACTCAAGCTCAACGGCGCTTCAAAGGTGGTGGTCGCAGCACACAAAGGTGTGAAAATGGATGTTGCCCGAAAGCTCCATGCGGCAGATGAGTATGTGGAGATTGATCGAGACACGCCTGAGGGGCAGTGGGCCTAGTTGAAGAAGAACTATGTTTATGGGTTTGACGCCGTGGCGAGTTCACCTGGCCGTTCTCATGCTGGAAAAAGCTAACGTGTGTTTTTCCAGGTGGAGGCAACTGGCTCCATAAAACTCGTTAATGAGAGCATCAACTGGGTGCGGAGTACTCTCTGAGTGGATAGTGATTCTAACTCGTATCTCGTTACTAAAGGTGCGGAGAGGTGGAACTTTGATGATATAAGGGCTGTGCGCCCATGACGCGCGCGTGAATTGGGCGCTGTCCAAGATTTTGGGAGATGAGATACGTGTGCGTGTATATATGCCAAAGAGATTCGGGGCATGAACCTCATACTTAACATCCTAGATTATTGGCTCCTTCGCCCAAACATTTTGTTTTCCGCGTGCAGTCGCCTACCTCGATAGCGGAAAGATCCGTGTCAAAGGGATGGTGGGTAGTACTCTCGGCGCATCCTTGTTTTATCTGGCTGAACGACCCTTTTAAGGCAACTGATACGTTCACGGTAAATGAGTACCAGAAGGCACTTGATAAACTCGAGAGCAGGACTGCTTTCAAGATTGTCATCAAGCCAACTGGTTCAGTTCAACTTCAGTGATTCGCGTAATTGTAAATGTAGTATTTACATTTTACTACGCCTCCAGTATGCTTCAATGTTCGATTCGGATCTTTTGGGGCGCGGGGCTGGAGATCCTTGCACTTTTCCACTGTGGGAGGAGGAGCAGGAGGAGGAGCAGGAGGATGTATTACTGCAGCGGTCCCATCAGGAAACAAGCAGGCTCTGTACCTACGTACAACACGTCCGTGTGGGCAAAACCACAAAGCCGCCATCAATGGTAGGACTGATCGTAAATCAATTTCAGTTCAAACTCCGGCACATTGCATTAAGTGTCCACTGGTGTGATTATTCAATCCTCTTTTGGCGTAGAGCTGAGCTTTCTGTTCTGTAAGAAATTGAATTGACAGGGGACAAAGAACAGGTCGCCATGCCACCTGCCTACGGATCCGTGACCTTTGTGAGCTCCTCAACTTGTTCTGAATCTTAAATCTTAGTACGTCTCGGCCCCTGGGTGCAGTTTTCCAAACGCACGTTCGCCGGCGCTTCCTTCGAAACCGAACCACTTTCCTTCAATATCAAGATATCTAGAATTATCACCATGCTGTCGTACCTGACCATACTGATGGCCCTTCTCATTTCTTCCTTGGCTGTGCCAATTCCCAATGCCGCTCCGGAGGATACTGTCGCCACGGCTCGTACCCCGCCTGCCTATATGCTTGACTTCTCTTCCGATGCCGATCGGCATTCTCCAGAACCTCAATCGGCGGGCGGAGGTTGTTGTTGCGGGCGGAATGGGTGAGGGTGGGTTCAATAACAGGGTTGTGATTGCTGGCGGGATCAGCGAGGGTGGGTTCAATAACAGAGGGCGGAGGTTCTTATTACGGGCGGGATGACTGAGGGCGGGCTCAATAAAAAGAGGGCGGAGGTTAACGTATTGCAGCAATTTAAATAGTGTAGTGCCTACTTAATTTCTGCACAAAGGAATAAATGAAAGTAAAACAAAACTTTGATCCAGCCCCGAGTTGAACGGGGAACTCCTCCACCACCAGATCTTTATGTCTTATAATTTGAACCTTGATATCAAGTCTTATTTTTAATAACGAAATTAGACTCGTGACCAGTCTGTATACAAAATACCAAAAATATGTGGCAAGCACTTCGGTTGTATACAGACTGGTACATCTCGGGCTGACAGCGGAGTTTAAAATTTAGCTGAGGTCCGTGTTCTCTCTTGCACTTTGAAATTTAAGGAAATTCAAATTATCATGAACCTTTATATTCTAGAAATAAACCCATTCGCCTCTTCAGATTTTTTTTTCATTGCAGATGGAAGAGCAGGAAAGGCCATTGAGTTTGGGGCAAAATTGATCGATTTTGATGGCTCGCTTATCGGCCGATCGCGGCACCTGCCAATTTTTTCAAACTCCGTTGGCAGCTCAATCCCCTTTCCCGAGATGTACCAGTCTGTAAAACGCCGAAGCGCTCGCCGCATTTTTTCGGCATTCATTTTACAGACTGGTTACGAGTCTACAACGAAATAAGGAAATTAACCCCAAAAGCTGACCCAGCCCCGAATCAAACAGGGATCTCCTGCAAAATCTACTCGAGTTTCCCCACATCATGCAGGTGTTATCCCATTTCACCGCTAGGTCTTTATGTCCGACAAGTCGAGACTTGATATCAAGGCTCATTTAGAACACATGAAAGTAAAATGAAAGTAAGGTAGAAGAAAATAATAATCCAGCCCTGAATCGAACAGGAATATCCTGTATAATGTGTTTCAACTTCAATATATTGTGCAGGTGTGATACCATTCCACCACTGGATATATACGGTCTATAATCCGAGGCTCGATATGGACGCTTATTTTGAACAAGGCATACTTAAATGAAAGAAGGAGGAAATTAAACCAAAAAATGACCCGGCCCGAATCGAACAGGGAACTCCCGCAGAATATATATGCGGGTGTGACACCATTACGCCGCTGGGTCTTTATGCCTAACAATTTGAAGCTTGATATCAAGACTTATTTTGAACAACGCAAATAAGAAAGAAGGAAATCGAACCAAAAGCTGACAAGCGCGGTCAACCTTTCAACACAATTTTCCATCATAAAAAGTTTCCCTCAGACATTCCAACTTGCATGGCCACAAACCTGTAGGAGTGCGACGACGGCGCTATTAAAATTAAGGTGTACTGGTATTACAATTGATACATTACTAAATTGACATATTCGCGAGCCGTTCATCGCAGCGCCAAACGTCTTCCTGCTGCGACGAGCGCTGAAACATAACCCGCGCCTGCTCCCAGAAGGACCTCGCCTGCACGCGGTCTCCGCGCGTCATCCACACCACCCCTAGCCGGAACATACAGCCCCCCCGCGCCCTGTGGATGTCCATATGCGTGAATCCCTCCAACGCCAGCGAAAACAGCGTATGCGCCGTCTGCTCGTCGCCCCCCACAAGAAATATATCCCCGAGCCTGCGGAGCGCGTCGTGTTTCCCTCGGAGGTCGTCCATGCGCCAGGACAACAGCAAGTGCACCACATAATATTCCGTCGCGGCGCCGATCTGAGAGCCAGAGTACGCGACGTCCCCGAGCATCTGCATGCAATCGTTCGTGTGCTCGGCATACTTTCCCTTTGTATGTTTGAGGCACCGATGCAGCAGCGCCCACGCTTCCACCAGCTTGCCCGCACGATACATCGCGTTTGCAGCCACGATATCGCACGAAACTGTCCACCACAAGCTGTGCACCAATCCCCGTGCCACCCTCAGCGCCTCGAGTCCGTCGCTCGCACCCGTAGCCACCCGCACGGTCGCAATATTCAGGCGCGCTACCGCATACTGCTCCCATGTCCCCTCCCGCCCTACCGTCCACTCCACAATCTCCCCACAAATCTCCTCTACCCGCGCATACTCTGTCTTCCGCAGCCGGATCTCCACCTGCATCATCAGCGCATCCATCCCCTTCGCGCCCCGTTCGATCCCCAGCCCGCGCGCCAGCGCCCCGAGATCCCCGCACAGCGCCAGCGCGCGCGGGTAGTTCCCCACCGTGATGTGGTGCGACGTGCGGTTGAGGATACAGAGGAACTCCGTCTCGAGGTCGCCCGCTGCCGCCGCGTGCCCCTGCGCCTCAAGCGTGCGCGCCCACGCCTGCCGCAGCTCGCCCCGCTGGTGGTGCAGTCCCGCCAGCAGCCGCAGCACCCGCGCAAGCAGCCCGTGGTCCCCCGCGCGCCTTGCGAGCCCCAGCGCGCGCACACACGCTTCGAACCCCCTGGTCGTATTCCCGTTGCGGAGGTACGCCAGCGATAGGTCGCTGTTCGCCATCACTAGTGCGCCAAGTTCGACATCATCAACAACACCGACAAACACTAGTTGAAAACAAATCTCACCTTGCGCCGCGAGGTCGCCCACCGCCTCGAAGTGCTGCAGCGCCGTCTCGATGTGCGCCTCGACCGCTAAGTCGGGAAGTGCGCGGGAGAGCGCGAGGAAGTAGCGCCCGCGTACGCGCCTGTCTGCGCCCATCTGCACCGCGCAGGCGATGCCGTGCAGCAGCTCGAACGAGCCCAGGTACGTCACCTCCGTGAAGCGCGCGAGGTCGATCACGCACGTCAGCGTCTCCGTCGAGGGCGGCTCCGCGTCGGCCAGCGCACGGCGCAGCAGCGCGTGGATATTGCCCAGCTCCGCGGCGAGCGTGGGCACGAGCCCGCTGCCCACCGCGCGCGCCCAGGTGCTGCAGAAGAGGCTGACGAGGGCGTAGAAGTAGGCGCGCATGCATTCAAGCAGGGGCGGTGCCGGTGGGTGGAGTGCGAGCATGTGCTCGCGGATGGGGACGAGTGTCTTGAGGCGCCGGTCCTGGTCCACGTACGCCAGGGACGTACGGCACAGCGTGACGCGGCAGAGCGGGATGTCCGCGATGGGCATGCCCATCTGCGCGAGCGTCAGGTCGGTCACGCCGTCGGGGAGCACGGCGAGCAGGCTGAGCAGCGTGAGCGCGTCGGGGATCGCCGTCAGCCGCGGGCTGGCAAGGGATATCGCGATGGAGGTGCTCAGGTTCGAGCGTTTGCCGAAGCCTTCGGAGAGGACAGAGATGCCCTCGCAGCTCCAGCGATCGAGGACTGCCGCGGGCCCTTCAAATGAGACGAGACTGGCCATGAGTGTCACGGCTAGTGGGAGGTTATCCGTGAAGCGCAGCAGTTCCTCGATTTGGTTGTCGTTTTCGACCGCATCGGTGATGTCACAAAAGACTTTTCTGGCAGCCACGTCCGACAACGGGGGAAGCGGCCGGATGAACGGGCGTGTCCAGCGCACCTTTTCGGGCCGTTCTTCTCCCCTCATCGTGATCTGTTGACAATGCTTAATTCTATCACGATAAAAAGAAAACAAACGTACGATGAGGTGCAGTTTACCGATCGAGGAGAGATGTGAGAGAAAATTCTCCACCGCACGCCGACCGCCCCGTCCCTCCCACGGCGTTTCCATGTTGTCCAGGACAACGACGGTAAATGTTTGCCGACTCAACAAATAGTCTAGAACAGCTTGCATAGGATTGCCCTGCCCCTCCAGCAGGAAGTGGTTTGATAGCGCGGTGGCAACATCGGCAGCCGATTGCGACGTCTCGCAAGAGATGAAGTGGCGCTCAGAGCCGAATTTGGCGACGATATCGGGGTGATACAGGGCTGCGAGAGAGAGCGCGCTCTTCCCGACGCCTCCGGGCCCGAGAATTGCCACTCGGGCAGGATCGTCGTCCTGCAGGAGGCTGAACACAATCTGCTGCAACTGCGCGTCTCGTCCGTGGAATATTTTTGGGGACCCAGGAAGCAGCGATATGTCGCTGAGGCTACATGATTCGTATGGGTTAGTGGATGGAATGATGGCAAGGACAAAATGGGTGACAACCTAGAGCGCAGTGTTCCCAACTTGGAAAAGGTAATATCAGCATGCGGCTCATTTCAATGAAGATCAAACGTATGTACCGTAGAGGACGAGTCCCGAGCCATCGCAAGATGCAGAAGTTCTGTATGATTCTTCGACATAGAGGCGTCGATCCGGGCGAGCGTCGCCATTGTCGTGACTTCACATTGCAACTGAGGGTAGAAATTAAGATTACTTTAGCCCAATTTCAAGAGCCCGACGAACCTGGAACAGTCCTAGTGAATGCTCCAATGCCCCTTGACATTCAAGAAGCAGAGCGGAATCTTCGAGATGCCGGACTACGCGCCGGATAAGACTACCGCGCACCTGCCGACGCACAAATGACAGGACTTTTATAAGTGTACTGCAGCATATGAGCGAACATCGTGAGAGACGATATCTGTTCACGTACTCGTAAAATGTTGCAATGTTGCGCAAAACGGACGGGGAGAGCTCGAAATTCGCGCTGTTGCATATGCTAGCGACGGCCGTAATAATTGTGCAGACCTGCTCGGCCATCCTGAGGCAGTCTGCCTTATTCGTCCTCACGGCCTGCGAAAGACAATTTTAAAAAATGAGAAAGAAGGGGCAAAAAAAACCCACGATAAAGGTGTCCATGAGGAGTCGAGCTGCTCCCGCAATTTCTTCGACGTAGGGGATGTTCGTCGCTTTCGAAATGCCGCCAAGCATCTGTACCGCCATCTTCCCCTGCTGAGCAACAGAATCAGCATGAGAAGTGTGTTTGCTTCCTGCCATGTCGCGCGGCATCGTCTGTCCAGGACGCATGCCCAGAGATTATATACTGAGTATTAACCTGTCAACCTGCATAACCAAAGCGCTAATCAGGGAGAGGACTACGGAGAGGACGTCGGCCGGCACCCAATGACTGGTGACGACGCCGGGAAGGCATCATGGCAACATCATGGTGCGCAGCAACAGTATGTTTAAAAATATATTGCCAAGCCTGGATGACGGTCGGATGGAGATAATCCTAACACCGAGTCAGAATTCATCCTACCTTTCGCTAAGGCGTAAGTCACTACGGAGTCTCATCAAAACCTGGAAATGATGGGAAATGGGAAATAAGAAAGGTTTTGGTGATCTGAATTGACGGCATAATCTCGCACTCACCCCACTGGACGCGTCTTCCTCCTCTTTGTGGCTCCTTGGTGGATGGTTAAGACCCCAAAACACCAGCCCGACCCAACACAGGGTCTCCGATCCCGCCGAGTCATTTTTCTGCTGGAAAAAGTCATGGAGCCAAAATAATAATAATTTTTACTAGTCTACTGGCTTGCGATGTAGCTCATTGCGATACCTGACCCAGGTTATGCAGGCAGTACATACCCTGGTCAAATTGACCGCACACATTACATGGAAACGCGTCGAGTGGGGGGGAAAAGGCGTGGGATATACCTCAGAATCGACTCAGATCAGGCCGCATTCCATCACCAAAACCTATTTCTCATCATTTCCAGGTTTTGATGAGACTCCGTAGTGACTCGTAGTCTACCGATCCCAGACTGACCAGGGGCCCAAATTGGGAAAGTCATGACAGGCTGGTACTGAGACTAGCTAAGGTGCTGCAGCGCCGTATTTGGAGAGGCCCCGTGAAACACCCGCCAAGGATTGTCCGGAAAGTGGCTTTTTTAGGCGGAAATTTTCGTGTTTTCCTTGTCCGAGAAGTGGCTTTTCGAGGGCCAAAATCTCGAAAGGGTTGTCCGGAAAGTGGCCTTTTGGAGCCGGAGATTTGACAAAATGCACTAAAAATAAACAAGAGGGGATGCGAACTAGAGACCAAAAAAAGCATATGTTTTTGGCAAACGAACGCACGAGCCAGTCAGCAAGAACAACGTGGAAGACCGGGGAAAATTTGGGTATTTAGAGCTATTGAATTCACGTGACAGGCCCTGTCCGATAGTGGCTTTTTGAGATCCAAAACCTCGCCTCTGAGTGGCTTTTTGAGGCCAAAATCTGGGATTTTTCTGAACAATCCTTACATCAGGAAAACCATAGCCGAGATGTAGCTATGACCTGCTATGACGTGTATGCAGCAGTATGCAGCACTATACAGGGCTGCATAGCATTTCAATAGCAACATCCCAGCGACAAAACGCTATGGAAGCTATGGAGCACTATAGAGCACTATCCAGCCATTTCTTGTTTTCCTGATGTAGCAGAAGTTTCACGGGGCCTACTTGGAGCTGTCACTGCGAAGGCCAAAAAAATTGCCGACCCGCGCTGGGGGTCCGGTTCAGGGCCCTCGTTCGGGAGTAATATGCAGCCACGACAGCGTTGAATCATCTTGAATCCCGTTGGACCGGGATTTAACTGATATTTTAACACTGCGATGAATGGGGTGAAAGGCGGAGCTCAAAAATATTGTGTCGGAAAATCCAAATTCGGCTGACAGGTTGCGATACGGGAAGACATGACCTGATCAGCCCATCAGGCTTTCAGGGGGGTTATAGGATTCAAAAAACCACTATAAACTGCTCTCAGGGGTTATCAGCCTGATCAGCCTGACAGGCCCATAACAGCCTTATGAAGGGTTATAAGTAGTGGTCAGGAAGGGGTACGACAGCTGAAAAAAGAAACAACCACTTCAATTGGTTCTCTGACTAGTCATCCAGAGTCCTTATTACTTTTGAAGGGCCAGTAAGTCAGTTATTAAATGTGTTAGTACCGGGGTTCAAACCTAGAATTAGAAAGAAGAAGACTGAGCATCATAACTCACTGAGCCAAGAGAGCCATTAGCAATTATGAAAATGTGTTCATTACATACCCATCTTCTGCAGCCTTATCAGGCCTGACAACCGCACCTCACTCCATCTCAGCCATTTTAACTGATAATATTCTCCACACCACCCACTACTACTAGTAGAATTCGCGTCTCGGTTGGACCTCCATCTACACATGTTCAGACATTCTTACCAGGCACGCCAGGTGAGATTTCGTGCGACTACTAGCCCAATATTTGGCTAGGACAATCTTCGCGATGTCATGAAACTGGCCCTGAACCTTTGTATCGTCCGTTTCAAATCAGTTCTTCTCATTGTACTTGCGAGAGCGCTCTGTGTCAAAAATTCGTGTGTTTCCTTTCACCCACAGACCGTAATTCAGCACATAGAGTCGCCCAAGGCACGTAAGTTTCGGGTCCTCGTCTCCTTCCCGGTCGTCTTTAACGGCATCCGTCGTGTCAGAACCGCTACTGAATCGTTCTCCAATAAAACTCAGGAGCATCCGCCGTGGTTTCCATTCCAGACGAGAAACGATTTCGAGGTGGCAGAAATAGCAGTCAGGACTGGAATGGTTGCAGATATTATGAACCGGTACCTTAACGGTATCAACAAGAATTGGCACACAGGTAAAAGCCGCCTCACCATCGCAAATGCCGACGAATTGGATGACGTGTTGGCTTCTCACTCAGATGACCTCGGTAAATGGGGGGCATCATCTCTGGGACCTTCTACTGGACGAGCTTGAAAGCATCCAGAAGAAAGCACCATTTGCCGAAAAGTACGGCCATCATGTTTCTCAAAATCAGTTTCATTTCGATTGACAAACTGTCCCAGCATGCGTAGATTTCCATGTTGGCCAAACCTTAAGCACTTCAACGAGGTCATAACAATACATTTTACGGACAGCCAAAGTTTTTATGACATTCTCAAGGTGTGTTCTCATTATACTCGCCGTCTTCCCGCTCCTCACAAATAATTACAGCTAATAACAGTACCGAGGGCGCGGATGAAAAATTCCCGTTTTGGGATATTTTTGATCCCCGCGACCGATTTGCCCATAGCTCAACGAGTATTGCATCAATTGACATAAAAACTATATAGGAATAACCGCCTAATCCATGCGCAATTAGTGATAGAGCTAAAGTAAAAAATAAATCATATCTTCAGGTGTCTTGAGAAACTAGGACTTTTGAGTGAAAATCTGGGCTAGCATGCCCAGATCAGATCCAAATGAGTTGGAATTTTGGGAGGGAGTGTTTGTAACTACTCCAGTCAATGTCATAGAGCCAGAATTGCGTATAAGAAATTCCTCCAGCTTTGTAACCCTCAATTGAACTGAAATTGGTATCAGAGGGCTACAAAGCTGAGGGAATTTCTTATACACAATTCTGGCCCTATGACATTGACTGGAGTAGTTACAAACACTCCCTCCCAAAATTCCAACTCATTTGGATCTGATCTGGGCATGCTAGCCCAGATTTTCACTCAAAAGTCCTAGTTTCTCAAGACACCTGAAGATATGATTTATTTTCTACTTTAGCTCTATCACTAATTGCGCATGGATTAGGCGGTCATTCCTATATAGTTTTTATGTCAATTGACGCAATACTCGTTGAGCTATGGGCAAATCGGTCGCGGGGATCAAAAATATCCCAAAACGGGAATTTTTTCATCCGCGCCCTCGGTACTGTTATTAGCTGTAAGTGTGTCCTTCCGCGCATAGTCCAGCTATTTCCGTCGAACAATGTCCTTGTCCACTGTATCAGGGCATATCTGCGTTATCGGATTTTGGTAGGAATGCATTGCATGCCTGAGGGACGCCTTAAACGGCTCGAGGTTTTTATTCAAGACTATGAATACTGGTGTTCCGTGAGTTATTTCTCTTTCAGAAATAATCGATCCGTAAGCTTACAATATATTTTAGCGCGTGACGGAGGTCTATGGCAAGAATTTCGATTTTTCCAATCAAGGTCGAGGGTATTCGATTTGAAGACACCATTATGGTCGGCTTTAAACCGTTCAAAAATTACCTGCCTTGTCTAAAATTATAAATAGATACGGTTCTTCAAGTGCGCGCATATATCTTACAGGTCCCTTGAAGATTGGTGTGGTGCCTGCGATATTATCCAGTGCAGTCCATGCTTCCACCAACATAAACGATACAACAGCCTACTGGTTAATATGACCGACCCCGGCCTCCATTTTGCGCGCACTTATACTCTCCTTCGCCGCATTTTTCCGAGTGGGCGTCAAATTGATGTTGCCATTGTGCGCATGTTTGAATTGTGCCGATGGAAACCCAAGAAAATTTGGGCTGGATGCCAAATGTGCGAGGAAGGCAAGGAATATACCTTGCTATCTATGGAGGATGTTATCCGAGGCGCGTTGCTTGCACCGGTTTCTTCTTCTCCAAACGAGCCCATTCGCTTCGTGGTGGATACAGTTGATGTGGACATGTTCTTACGTGCTGATATGTAGTACAATATTATATATTTGAACCTATTGGCGAAGAGCTGACAATATCTGATACAACCTGACACCGGCTGATAGGCCTCTCCGCGAAAGCTGATATGCCCTGATACGCCGGTCAGGCCTGATCAGCTAAATTTGGATTTTCCGACATGATGATCCTAATGCGGCAATCAATGATAGCCGATTGCGATCACCGATCGTTCGAAGTTGCCCCAGGAATATAGAGAATGATACTTGTCCAAGTCAAACTCAAAAACAGTGGTTTTAGGGATTCGATGATTTGAATGGTATAAACTGTGGCCTGAGCCACAGAGCAGAGACACAATCGGGTGTTTCAGATATGATTTTTTTGGCCCAACCCGGAGCCCATTTAGTATCACTTTTTCTCCGGGAGTCGCCGGCATGGTAAACAGTTGAGACAAATCGGATGGCAGACGTTGGGACATGAAGTTGCGCACGAAGTGTCCGGACCACGATTTGACATGCAACTTTGATTGCGGATTCAAAAAAAAAAAGAGGACGGATGTTCTTGTTGCGGGCGGGATGACGGAGGGTGGATTCAAATAATTAATTTTCAACTTGTTGCGAAGTAGTTACTACCTCAGCCATTTTCAACTCGTAATGTTGGATTTGGCTTCATAGGTAAACATCCCCGAAAGCGTGCGATTCCAGCGTGCAACTTGCGTGCGATGAGTAGATCCTGGTTGTCGGATAAGAGTCAGGATATTAATATATTGACTAACAGGGTGGGAGACCGAGGCCGTGGCCTGCACTATACTCATTTCGAACAGCTCAAAAACTGAACCGATGTAAGTCATTTTTGATGCCATGTTGAATTCAAGCGAGCGGCGGATCCATGCTTTGATAACAAGTGTCATATTTGAAGACCAAAAGGAAGGAATTCGATAAAGGCCAAATACGAGCTACTTATGCACGTTGAACATGCCAGGGATAAAAATACAAGAGATGCATAAAAACAAATGAGCTAGATAAAAAACAACGAAAATCCGCACCCATGCCTTCAGTGGGAATTGAACCCACCTCACCTGACTACATTGGTCAAATCAGAATGACTGAGAGGAGATGCTCTGCCACTAAACTACGAAGGCTTCAAGTACTTATTTTGCATAGCTCCTGGTGTGACTCATTTTGTGATGCCATGCTGAAGTCGAAGGTGAAATTTTGTGTTTCGGGCGACAGGCGCGATTTCTCAACCAGATACCAATAGACATGCTCTACCAATGTCTAATGCATACTTATGAGAAAAGGCGAATGTAAGAAAGCGCTCACGCCTTGAGAAAGGCCGAAACCAGGCTTCGAGAGGATGGATAGGTTCAACTCTTCGATGCTGAACCTGTCAGGGAAAAAATACACCAAAAAGCCAATGGCTGCTGGATACTTTTAAATCACAGTTGTGTCTGAAAATAACAATGACACTAGTTAGTTTTTTTTGGCCTGGTCCCAATTCAGAAGTCGGCTCAAAAAATCCTAGCCCATCACATGCCTTCGGTGGGAATCGAACCCACATCATCTTTACGAATTCAAACGGTACTGAGTGGAGATACTCTGCCGCTGAGCTACGAATAGCTTCAGTAGTAGGTGTAGTATTACCGACGCGGAGAATAGGGAGGTGTGTTGTCATTGGCGCCCGCGAGAAAAAGACTGATATGCCCGGAATGCCTTCGGTGGGAGTCGAACCCACGTCGTCTCGATATTGGTATGAGTTTGAACTGAATGGAGATGCTCTGTCGCTGAGCTACGAAGGCATTACGTAGATAGTAGGTAGGTACATTCCGACGCAGTGCTATCAAAAACAGCCACTACATATATATATACGGGTACTATTCTGAACACAAGGAGAAAAATAAACCTGAAGCTGTCAGAAGAAGGGTGATCTGCATCGCCATTAAGCAACTTGTGAACCGCTCGGAGAATTGAACTGATGCGACTCGTTTTTGATGCCATGTTGAAATCGCGTGGCAGTGTTCGGTTGTTACGTCTTCGGTGGAGGTGACGTGAGCAAGATTACAGCACCGAAGAAGACATGAGGGGCGGGTTGGGGACTGCGCAAGGCGGAATTTGTGGGTGCGTCTGTTGGGCATGCGTTTCTGGCGAGGCGATACAGAGCGGGCAATGCGATGATACGCGGGCAAGAGGACTGGGCGTGTTTGGAGTAGCTGAGCCTCTGGCAATTGTCGCGGCGTTGGAAACAAAGATCGACAGACCAAAATCTATCTTCGGGAAGCTCCCAGTTTGATTTGCATGACGTACGGAAGGAAGACGCAGGACTAACAGCGCGCGCACCTCACAATTTTGCATCAATGAATCAAAAGCTATCGTACACTGCTATCACTTCAGACAGCTTATTTTTAGGATCGCCGACTCCGAGGCGGCCACGGGCGGGAGAGGAAAGAACTCAGTCAGCATTACCAATTTTAGGCGGCTAATACAACAAAGCTGGTATCTTATCAAGTTGATATAAGCGCGCGCGGGCGGTGGCGGGCGGCGAATATATGTCGTCACGTGATTTTCGGTTGAAGTTGGCACTGAACAGTTCCTGAGTGGACACCGAACAGTGAAGCAGAGAATATCAAAAGTTGTTGGCAGACTAATTTTGAAAAATTGCCCAGCCCAACTTTTCCCGACATTCTTAGATTTGTACAGCTTGCACGGATTCGGATTACCGAACTCTCCGCAATATCGATTATATGGATCTGTCATTCTCCGATGTATATTTTTATGTTGACATACCACTTGTGACATAAATTTTATTCCGTCTCTGGATTCGTCCTTTAAAAGACACAACCCTGAGACTGTCCTTGGAAATCCGTCTTCCTTTCATCTCTGCAAATCCTATCAGAGAACCTCATAGTATGAACGCTGTTTTCTACCATGGCGTAATCACAAACGCTTCAGCTACTAACACCACACTTCCTAACTCATTAATTTCTTACAGGTCAAAAATTTTGAGGTCCGCGCCGACGTCCCCATCGCAGATGTAGGGGCCGATCAGGTTCAGATCAAAGGTTCGATGAGACCTATACATAATTTTGTTTACCGAGCTCCGAGCGCATTTATAGTGTCCGCATGCGGCGTCTGCGGAACAGACAGGTATGTTGTGTTCGATACTCGCGTATTTTACTAATAGCTGTCTAGTCACATCGCCAAAGGTGGGACCCAATAACCTACATCGGGAGCTTCCCAGCTGACTTGAAAGTCTGCAGGAGAACTTCTTACGAAGTTTCCGGTATGATTAATGGGCTGGCTACCTCGATTGCATAATATTTGATTGTGTGTCGCGCCTAGCTCATCCCAGGCCATGAAATCGTTGGAACGATTTCGAATATCGGCACATCGGTGAAGGACTTCAAAAATGGCGACAGATGCGTCGTAGATCCGGTTGTGACCTGCGGTAGCTGCTTTTATTGCAGGCGAGGGAAATCCCTTTTCTGTGAGAACTTTGACGGGCTAGGAGCGACACTTCCGGGCGGGTTTGCGGATTATGTGACTGTGTACGAATCTGAAGTTCAATTATTTCTTGTTAAAATAAATCATCCCATTATTCGATACAGGGCGAGTAACAAGGTCCATCACATATACAGTCTCACGGACGAGGAAGCGACTTTGATTGAGCCAGCTGCATGCGCTGTCCACGGTGCTGATAAACTTGGCCTTCCGGTTGGATCAGAAGTTTTGATCTTGGGTGCTGGACCTACCGGTGTGTGGTGCTTCCGGGAGCTTCAGATTATTCAGGTTCATTTTTGACTTCAGGATTAATTCTTGCCCAGTTACTCAAGCTCAACGGCGCTTCAAAAGTGGTGGTCGCAGCACACAAAGGTGTGAAAATGGATATTGCCCGAAAGCTCCATGCGGCAGATGAGTATGTGGAGATTGATCGAGACACGCCTGAGGGGCAGTGGGCCCAGTTGAAGAAGAACTATGCTTATGGGTTTGACGCCGTGGCGAGTTCACCTGGCCATTCTCATGCTGGAAAGAGCTAATGTGTGTTTTTCCAGGTGGAGGCAACTGGTTCCATAAAGCTCGTTAATGAGAGCATCAACTGGGTGCGGAGTACTCTCTGAGTGGATAGTGATTCTAACTCATATCTCGTTACTAAAGGTGCGGAGAGGTGGAACCTTGATGATATATGGGTTGTGCGCCCATGACGCGCGCGTGAATTGGGCGCCGTCCAAGATTTTGGGAGATGAGATACGTGTGCGTGTATTATATATGCCAAAGAGATTCGGGGTATGAACCTCATACTTAACATCCTAGATTATTGGTTCCTTCGCCCAAACATTTTGCTTTCCCCGTGCAGTCGCCTACCTCGATAGCGGAAAGATCCGTGTCAAGGGGATGGTGAGTAATACTCTCGGCACATCCTTGTTTTATCTGGCTGAACGACCCTTTTAAGGTGACTGATATGTTCACGGTAAATGAGTACCAGGAGGCACTCGATAAACTCGAGAGCAAGACTGCTTTCAAGATTGTCATTAAGCCAACTGGTTCAGTTCAACTTCAGTGATTCGCGTAATTGTAAATGTAGTATTTACATTTTACTACGCCTCCAGTATGCTTCAATTTTCGATTCTGATCTTTTGGGGCGCGGGGCTGGAGATCCTTTCATTTTTCCACTGTGGGGAGTGGTACTCGGGCCAAAACCCTAAACGGGCCACAAAGCCGCCATCAATGGTGGGACTGATCGTAAATCAATCTCAGTTCAAACTCCGGCACATTGCATTAAGTGTCCACTGGTGCGATTATTCAATCTTCTTTGGAGTAGAGCTGAGCTTTCTGCTCTGTAAGAAATTAAATCGACAGCGTACAAAGAACAGGTCGCCATGCCACCTCCCTACGGATCCGTGACCTTTGTGAGCTCCTCAACTTGTTCTGAATCTTAAATCTTAGTGCGTCTCGGCCCTTGGGTGCAATTTCCCAAACGTACGTTCACTGACGCCTCCTTCGAAACCGAACCACTTTCCTTCAATATTAAGATATCTGGAAATATCACCATGCTGTCGTACCCGACCATACTGATGGCCCTTCTCATTTCCTGCGCTGTGCCAATTCCCAATGCCACTCCGGAGGATACTGTCGCCACGGCTCGTACCCCGCCTGCCTATATGCTTGACTTTTATTCCGACGCTGATCGGCATCCTGCAGAACCTCAATCGGCGGGCGGAGGTTGTGGATGGGTGAGGGTGGGTTCAATAACAGGGCTGTGATTGCTGGCAGGATGAGCGAGGGTGTGTTCAATAACAGAGGGCGGAGGTTCTTATTACGGGCGGGATGACCGAGGGCGGGTTCAATAAGAAGAGGGCGGAGGTTGTATTGCAGCAATTTAAATAGTGTAGTGCCTACTCAATTTCTGCACAAAGGAATAAATGAAAGTAAAACACAACTATGATCCAGCCCCGAGTTGAACAGGGAATTCCTCCATACACTTCCACCACCAGATCTTTATGTCTTATAATTTGAACCTTGATATCAAGTCTTATTTTGAACAATGAAATAAGGAAGTTAAACCAAAAAAAGCTGACCCAGCCCCGAATCAAACAGGGATCTCCTGCAAAATATACTCGAGTTTCCCCACATCATGCAGGTGTGATACCATTTCACCGCTAGGTCTTCACGTCCAACAAGTTGAGACTTGATATCAAGGCTCATTTAGAACACATGAAAGTAAAATGAAAGTAAGGTAGAAGAAAATAATAATCCAGCCCTGAATCGAACAGGGATCTCCTGCATAATGTGTTTCAATTTCAATATATTGTGCAGGTGTGATACCATTCCACCACTGGATATACACGGTCTATAATCCGAGGCTCGATATGCACGCTTATTTTGAACAAGGCGTACCTAAATGAAAGAATACCAAAAAATGACCCAGCCCGAATCGAACAGGGAACTCCCGCAGAATATGCTTGAACCTATGTGCGGGCGTGATACCATTACACCGCTGTGTTTTTATGCCTAACAATTTGAAGCTTGATATCCAGGCTTATTTTGAACAAAGAAAATAAGAAAGAAGGAAATCGAACCAAAAGCTGACAAGCGTGGTCGACCTTTCAACATAATTTTGCATCGTAAAAAGTTTACCTCAGACATTCAGCCTGCATGGCTACAAATCTGGAGGAGTGCGACGATGGCGCTACTAAAATTAAAGTGTACTGGTATTACAATTGATATAGTACTATATTGATATATTCGCGAGCCGTTCATCGCAACGCCAAACGTCCTCCTCCTGTGACGAGCGCTGAAACATAACCCGCGCCTGCTCCCAGAAGGACCTCGCCTGCACGCGGTCTCCGCGCGCAATCCACACCACCCCCAGCCGGAACATACAGTCCCCCCGCGCCCTGTGGATGTCCATATGCGTGAATCCCTCCAACGCCAGCGAAAACAGCGTATGCGCCGTCTGCTCGTCGCCCTCCACAAGAGATATATCCCCGAGCCTGCGGAGCGCGTCGTGTTTCCCTCGGAGGTCGTCCATGCGCCAGGACATCAGCAAGTGCACCACATAATATTCTGTCGCGGCGCCGATCTGGGAGCCGGAGTACGCGACATCCCCGAGCATCTGCATGCAATCATTCGTGTGCTCGGCGTACTTTCCCTTTGCATGTTTGAGGCACCGATGCAGCAGCGCCCGACGCCTCCGCCAGCTCGCCCGCACGATACATCGCGTCTGCAGCCACGATATCGCACGTAACTGTCCACAACAAGCTGTGCACCAATCCCCGTGCCACCGTCAGCGCCTCGAGTCCGTCGCTCGCACCCGTAGCCACCCGCACGGCCGCAATATTCAGGCGCGCCACCGCATACTGCCCCCGCGTCCCCTCCCGCCCCTCCGTCCACTTCACGATCTCCCCACAAATCTCCTCTACCCGCGCATACTCCGTCTTCCGCAGCCGGATCTCTACCTGCATCATCAGCGCATCCATCGCCTTCGCGCCCCGTTCGATCCCCAGCCCGCGCGCCAGCGCCTCGAGATCCCCGCACAGCGCCAGCGCGCGCGGGTAGTTCCCCACCGTGATGTGGTGCGACGTGCGGTTGAGGATGCAGAGGAACTCCGTCTCGAGGTCGCCCGCTGCCGCCTGCGTGCCCCTGCGCCTCAAGCGTGCGCGCCCACGCCTGCCGCAGCTCGCCCCGCTGATGGTACAGCCCCGCCAGCAGCTGCAGCACCCGCGCAAGCAGCCCGTGGTCCCCCGCGCGCCTTGCGAGTCCCAGCGCGCGTGCGCACACCTCGAACCCCCTGGTCGTATTCCCGTGGCGGAGGTAGCGCCATCGACAGGTCGCGGTTCGCCATCGCTAGTGCGCCAAGTTCGACATCAACAACAACACCGACAAACACTGGTTGAAAACAAAGCTCACCTTGCGCCGCGAGGTCGCCCACCGCTTCGAAGTTCTGCAGCGCCGTCTCGATGTGCGCCTCGGCCGCTAAGTCGGGAAGTGCGCGGGAGAGTGCGAGGAAGTAGCGCCCGCGTACGCGCCTGTCCGCGCACGCCTGCACCGCGCCGGCGATGCCGTGCAGCAGCTCGAACGAGCCTAGGTCCGTCACCTCCGTGAAGCGCGCGAGGTCTATCACGCACGTCAGCGTCTCCGTTGAGGGCAGCTCCGCGTCGGCCAGCACACGGCGCAGCAGCGCGTGGATATTGCCCAGCTCCGCGGCGAGCGTGGGCACGAGCCCGCTGCCCACCGCGCGCGCCCAGGTGCTGCAGAAGAGGCTGACAAGGGTGTAGAAGAAGGCGCGCATGCGTTCGAGCAGGGGTGGTGCAGGTAGGTGGAGCGCGAGCATGTGCTCGCGGATCGGGACGAGCGCCTTGAGGCGCTGGTCCTTGGTCCACGTACGCCAGGGACGTACGGCACAGCGTGACGCGGCAGAGCGGGATGTCCGCGATGGGCATGCCCATCTCCACGAGCGTCAGGTCTGTCACGCCGTCGGGGAGCACGGCGAGCAGGCTGAGCAGCGTGAGCGCGTCGGGGATCGCCGTCAGCCGCGGACTGGCAAGGGATATCGCGATGGAGGTGCTCAGGTTCGAGCGTTTGCCGAAGCCTTCGGAGAGGACAGAGATGCCCTCGCAGCTCCAGCGATCGAGGACTGCCGCGGGCCCTTCAAATGAGACGAGACTGGCCATGAGTGTCACGGCTAGTGGGAGGTTATCCGTGAAGCGCAGCAGTTCCTCGATTTGGCTGTCGTTTTCGACCACATTGGTGATGTCACAAAAGACTTTTCTGGCAGCCACGTCCGACAACGGGGGAAGCGGCCGGATGAACGGGCGCGTCCAGCGCACCTTTTCGGGCCGTTCTTCTCCCCTCATCGTGATCTGTTGACAACGCTTAATTCTATCATGATAAAAAGAAAACAAACGTACGATGAGGTGCAATTTATCGATCGAGGAGAGATGTGAGAGAAAATTCTCCACCGCCAGCCGACCGCTCCGTCCCTCCCATGGCGTTTCCATGTTGTCCAGGACAACGACGGTGGATGTTTTCCGACTCGACAAATAGTCTAGAACAGCTTGCATAGGATTGCCCTGCCCCTCCAGCACAAAGTGGTTTGATAGTGCGGTGGCAACATCAGGCAGCCGATTGCGACGTCTCGCAAGAGATGAAGTGGCGCTCAGAGCCGAATTTGGCAACAATATCGGGGTGATACAGGACTGCGAGAGAGAGCGCGCTTTTCCCGACGCCTCCGGGCCCGAGAATTGCCATTCGAGCGGGATCGTCGTCCTGCAGGAGGCTGAACACAATCTGCTGCAACTGCGCGTCTCGTCCGTGGAATATTTTTGGGGACCCAGGAAGCAGCGATATGTCGCTGAGGCTACATGATTCGTATGGGTTAGTGGATGGAATGATGGCAAGGACAAATGGGTGACAACCTAGAGCGCAGTGTTCCCAGCTTGGAAAAGGTAATATCAGCATGCGGCTCATTTCAACAATGATCAAATGTATGTACCGTAGAGGACGAGTCCCGAGCCATCGCAAGATACAGAAGTTCTGTATGATTCTTCGACATAGAGGCGTCGATTTGAGCGAGCGTCGCCATTGTCGTGACTTCACATTGCAACTGAGGGTAGAAATTAAGATTACTTTAGCCCAACTTCAAGAGCCCGACGAACCTGGAACAGTCCTAGTGAATGCTCCAATGCCCCTTGACATTCAAGAAGCAGAGCGGAATCTTCCAGATGCCGGACTACGCGCCGGATAAGACTACCGCGCACCTGCCGACGCACAAATGACAGGACTTTTATAAGTGTACTGCAGCATATGAGCGAACATCGTGAGAGACGGTATCTGTTCACGTACTCGTAAAATGTTGCAATGTTGCGCACAACGGACGGGGAGAGCTCGAAATTCGCGCTGTTGCATATGCTAACGACGGCCGTAATAATTGTGCAGACCTGCTCGGCCATCCTGAGGCAGTCTACCTTATTCGTCCTCACGGCCTGCGAACGACAATTAAAAAAATGAGAAAGAAGAGGCAGCAAAAAACGCACGATAAAGGTGTCCATGAGGAGTAGAGCTGCTCCCGCAATCTCTTTGACGTAGGGGATGTTCGTCGCTTCCGAAATGCCGCCAAGCAACTGTACCGCTATCTTTCCCTGCTGAACAACAGAATCAGCATGAGAAGTGTGTTTGCTTCCTGCCATGTCGCGCGGCATTGTCTGTCCAGGACGCATGCCCAGAGATTATATATTGAGTATTAGCCTGTCAATCTGCATAACCAAAGCGCTAATCGGGGAGAGGACCACGGAGAGGACGTCGACGGCACCCAATTACTGGTGACGACGCCGGGAAGGCATGTGGCGCGCAGCAACAGCATGTTTGAAAATATATTGCTGCAAGCCTGGATGACGAGATAATCCTAATACCGAGCCAGATTTCATCCTACGCTTCGCTAAGGCGCTGCAGCGCCGTACTCGGATCTGTCACTGCGAAGGCTTGGCGAAGGCCAAATAATTGCCGACCCGCGCTGGGGGTCTGGTTCAAGGTCCTCGTCCGGGGGGAATATGCAGCCGTGACAGCGTTGAATCATCTTGATCCCGTTGGACCGAGATTTAACTGAGATTTTTAACACTGCGATGGGAGTCAGGAATATGTAGTAGAGCATATTCGCACCGCCCAAAAGTTCTCAGATATCTGCCATCACTTTTAAGCGAGAGCCTTGATTGATGTGACTTTGGTGACTGACTTGGCTCTCGCCTTCGACTTTGTGCAACGCCTGCGATAAACTTTCTACTGAAAAAAATTAGATTGAACAATAGGCAAGGCAACGGCGTTCCAGGAATTTCCTCGGGCTGAAATGACCGAAAACTGCGCCTCTACTTCGCTTTTTGAGTATCACTTATTCCCTTTTGGGAGCCCCACTTGTCTGGCATTAAGCATCACTTTTTAGATCAAAAGGCGATTTGGGGCGGTGCGAATATGCTCTAGTCTAGGACTTGATACTATGTGTTACGCCGGGATTGAAAACGGACTAGAGTTTGAAAATGCGCTCGCTTCATCTCAGTTTTTCTCGGATGCCTTTAATTCTTCGCGGAACGTGCTCCGACACATATTTTACATTAGACTAGCCAAAAAAATGAAGGGATTCCGTTTGGAATTGAGTGAGCATCAGGACCGGGGGCAAATCAGGCCTGATTCACCATTCAAATTCTCGCGTTCAGTACTGTCCGCTAAACCGTTTCACTTCACTTTGACAGGTGCACTTTACGGCTAAAAGCGATGTCCCAAAAAATGGACGATAAATGCGGCGTCCGGAGGTGTATATATGCTCAGGCCCGGACACGCATTGTCCATCAGCCCAAAAGTCACGCTTTGTGAAAGTCCGTCCCTGGACGACCCGCTAGGCTTCGCTCCGTCTTTTTATAACATCTTTGAAGCCAGGAGTGTCTTAAAGGGAAGTGACACTCAGCGGAAGTAAAGCAAATTTTGGAGTGCACCCAGGCATCCCGTGCCGGGTGCCTCCGATTCTTAATCCAATTTTTTCATAGGAATTTTTCCAGCCTTGCACAAAGTCGAAGGCGAGAGCAGTCGTCACGAAGCAAATCATCAAGGCTCTCGCTTAAAAGTGATGATGATTCTGAGAACTTTTGGTTGCAAACTCTTCTGTAATCCGGGAAACCGCGCCCCGATGACGGTGCCCGATGTTATTACATAATCGTCGGACTTTCAATTCTCGTTGGGCTAGTTGGAGCCTTGGCACGGCCTTGATGACGGACTTGAAGAAAAAAAGTCGCTTGAAACCTGATTCCGAATGTAACTGCGTCTTTAGATTTTTTGGCTTGATCTCTTCATCAAAGAACGAGATGCTCGCACTGACACGTGGCTCCGACGGCAATTTTCGGCATCGTGTTTCTGATCTTCAAAGGAAGAAACTTGGCGGGAAGAGCCATTTATTTTGATGCTTTAAACATGGATGCATCCAAAAAATATCGAAAAACACACTTGAACTCTTGTAGCAGCATCTGCGAAATTTATGATTATGTCATAACGCTGAGCACCGATCAACTGATTGAGGAAGTCAACAGACTACAAGATGCGAGGTCAATGCGAGGTACATGCTTCAACGGCTGGAGCGTCTGTCTAGGAGAGACTAGGGAATACTAGAGAAAGATACTCATCCAAGTCAAGCTCAGAAACAGTGGTTTAGGGGAGTGATATCGATTAATGCTGCGGAGATTGGGGATTCAATGGTTTGAATGGTATAAACTGTGGCGAGTTTACCCGAGCCACAGAGCAGGCTGCAGAGACACAATAGGGTGTTTCGGATATGGTTTTTTGGCCCAACTTGGGGCCCAACCCGGAGCCCAATTTGAGTGTCACTTTTTCTCTGGGAGTCACCGGCATGGGAAACAGTTGAGACAAATCGTTGGGACATGAAGTTGCGCACGAACGGACCACGATTTGACATGCAACTTCAATTTTGGACGCAACTTCGAATGAGTTGCGTCCAAAAAACAATATCCTAATCGCCCGAGGTTGTGATTGCTGGCGGGATGACTGAGGGTGGGTTCAATAACAAGAGGGCTGAGGGTCTTATTACGGGCGGGATGACTGAAGGCAGATTCAAAAAAAAAAGAGGGTGGATGTTCTTGTTGTGGGCGAGATGAAAGAGGGTGGATTCAATTAATTAACTTTCAGCTTGTTGCGAAGTACTTACTACCATCTTCAACTCGTAATGTTGGATTTGGCTTCATAGGCAACGTCCCAGAAAGCGTGCGATTTCAGCATGCGACTCGCGTGGCGATTTCGGTGAGCAACTTGCGTGCGATGAGTAGATCCTGACTGTCGGAGTGTTTGGATAAGCGCCAGGATAATATATTGACTGACAGGGTGGGAGACCGAGGCCGTGGCCTGCACTATACTCACTGCGAACAGCTCGAAAACTGACCTGATGTGACTCATTTTTGATGCTAGGTTGAATTCAAAACTTTTGCGCGGCATCTCGTGGCAGCAGCAAACTGGATTATATATGCTTTTATAACAATATTATATCTGAAGACGAAAGCACTCATCACATCTTAATAAAGGCTGAACTCCAGCTTGGATATACTGTACTAAAACGTTCAATTCGACAGTCACGCGTCACTGGGGGGGCTGTCGATTGCCAACTTTGGTGCTTGTCACGCATCACCCCGAGGACTGTCGAATAGATTTTCCGGTTCGTCACCCCAAAATCCCCAAATTTCGCGATTTCGACGAATTTTCGGCTCGGATTGTCGAAATTTTGCGCTCGGTCACGCCAAAAAATGCGGTTTGTCGAATTGTCGAACCGGAATTTTCCGTCACGCGTCACCCCCTCTGTCGAACTGAACGTTTTAGTACAGTATAGGCGCGGATATAATATAACGAGACTTGGCATAAAAACAGATGAGCTCGAGCACACATGGAATGCCTTCGGTGGGAGTCCATGCCTCGATAAATTGGTCCTATTGCTTGTCACTGAGAGGAGATGCTCTACGAAAACTTCGGTAGTAGGTGTAGTATTACCGACGTGGAGAATAGTCTGGAGGTGTGTTGTCATTGGCGCCCGCAAGAAAAAAGCTTTGAAATGCTGTGCAATGCCTTCGGTGGGAGTCGAACCCACGTCGTCTCAACGATTCCTTAGGGATTGGCACATTGAAAGGAGATGCTCTGCATCTGAGCTACGAAGGCTTGGGGTGATCTGTATTAAGCAATTTATGAACCGCTCGAAAATTGAACTGATGTGACTCGTTGAAAACATACAATACACACATTGATAAAATCAAGACAAAAACTGAATTTAGTAAGGCGCTCACGCCTTGATAAAGGCTAAAGCACTAAAATCGAGCAGAGGCGTTTAGACGTTGAACTTGTGAGGGATAAATACAACTCGAAGGCTCAGGAAATAAAAATACAGGATGCCTTCGGTGGGAGTCGAACCCACGTCGTCTCGATATCGGTACTACCTATTTGAACTGAGTGGAGATGCTCTGTCGCTGAGCTACGAAGGCATCAGGTAGATAGTAGGTAGGTACATTCCGACGCAGTGCTATCAGAAACAGCCACTACATATATATACGGGTACTATTCTGAAGACAAGGGAAAAAATAAACCTGAAGCTGTCAGAAGAAGGGTGATCTGTATCGCCATTAAGCAACTTGTGAACCGCTCGAGAATTGAACTGATGTGACTCGTTTTTGATTTCATGTTGAAATTGTGTACGCACAATTTCTCAACCAGATACATACATGCTTTGATAAGAATATTATATCTCAAGATAAAAAGTGAATTTAGGTAAAGCGTTCACACATTGATAAGATAGGAGCTGAATACGACGTGGTTGAGGGAAGCCATGATTTTGAGGGGCATGAAAAAAATACACAAATCTCAATGATGCCTTTGGTGGGAGTCGAACCCACGGATTCTCGATACGTTTGACTCTTCAATTTCTTGTTACTAAGAGTAGATGCTCTGCCACTGAGCTACGAAGGCTTGGGGTGATCTGCATTAAGCAATTTATGGACCATTCGAAAATAGTAAAGCGCTCACGCCCTGATAAGTGCTAACTTGTGAGGAATAAATACAACTCGGAGGCTCATAAAATAAAAATACTTCATGCCTTCGGTGGGAGTCGAACCCACATCGTCTCGATATTCGTGGTGTGAATTCAAACTGAGTGGAGATGCTCTGCCACTGAGTTACAAAGGCGTTAAGGAGGTGGTAGGTAGCTAGCTATATTCCGAAGCGGTGCCATCAGAAACAGATTGTGTGTCCGTACGTAAGACATACACTCTATATACGGGCACTATTCTGAAGATAAGGAAAAAAATAAACCTGAAGCTGTCAGAAGAAGGGTGATTTGCATCGCCATTAAGCAACTCGTGAACCGCTCGGAGCTGATGCGACTCGTTTTTGATGCCATGTTGAAATCGCGTGGCAGTGTACGGCTTCGGTGGAGGTGACGTGAGCAAGATTACAGCACCGAGGAGCAAAGAAGACATGAGGGACGGGTTGGGGACGGGCGCAAGGCGGAATTTGTGGGTGGTAGGTCAAGTGCTCACGCGTTGATAAAATAGGAGCTGAATACGATGCGGTTGAGGGAAGCCATGATTTTGATGTTGAACATGTCAGGGATTAGGGGCATAAAAAAAACACGCAAATCTCAATTATGCCTTGGGTGGTCGAACCCACGTCGTCTCGGTAAATTTCTTGTTGCTAAGAGCTACAAAGGCTTACAGGTACCGTCGGTGGTGGCGTTCAACCGATCCGGTGCGTTACGTTCGGTGGAGGTGACGTGAGCAAGATTACAACACCGAGGAGCAAAGAAGACATGAGGGACGGGTTGTGGACGGGCGCGAGGCGGAAGTTGGGGGTGCGTCTGTCGGGCATGCATTTCTGGCGAGGCGATACTGAGCAGGCAATGCGATGATACGCGGACAGGAGGAGTGGGCGTGGCTAAATACGTGCGGGAGCCGTGCCGCGGGTCCACGCAATATGTGTCGTGCCGGCTTACTCATCTGTCTGCGCAGCGATCTTTTGAGTGCTGTCAACAACGAGCAAATAAAGAAAGCACTAACCACCAACTACTACCACCAGGATGCAGGTCGACACTTCCATGCAGTCGATGTTCGGCGCATCGTACAGCGACTATTCGTCCGACCTCAGCGACATATTCCACACAGAGCTCTTTGCTCTCACCAACAACAACAGCTCGAGCGGCGAGAGCAGCAGCAGCGCTGGCTCGAGTAGCTCGCGCGAGAGCACCCCGCACGTTCAGACGCCCCCGCAGCACGCACCTCTTGCGGCCTTCCCCGACGACCACCACACCTCGGAGTTCTTCAACTTCCTCACCGACGAGGAAAGCAAGCCCAACGTGATGGACCCCATGTCCATCCTCGCGGGCGCGCCGTACGACTTCTTCGGCGGGCTCGAAGACGTTAACATGGGCGGCATGGCAATGATGGGCGGTAGCATTAACCCCCAGCTCGTCGGGTCACCCAATACCCCCGTCTTGTCTGACTTTGCCTCCTCGTCCTCGTCCTCCTCTTCGTCTGGGTCGTCCCCCCATTCGACCAGCTCAGACGAGCCCCCCTCGCCCGAAGAGCCCGAAATCGCGCCCGTCAAGGTCGGTGGGCACGGCAAGGCCCGCAAGGGCACCGTCCAGTCTGGCGGGATCACCAAGAAGAGCAGCGCGCCGGCGCCGAACAAGGAAAACAACAGCCACGCCGCGTTCATGCCGTCCACGACCTTCCGCCCACGCTCGCAGAAGGAGGCTGGTGGGTGCCGTTTCTTTATCTTATTTTATACTATGCTAATATCATTAATATTCTAGACTCCGACGCAGAAGACGACGACAACCACGACGACCTCCCCGCTTCCTGGCGCCCCCCACCCGAGGTCTTTGCCAAAATGACCGCAAAGGAAAAGCGCCAGCTCCGCAACAAGATCAGCGCGCGCAATTTCCGCGTGAGGAGAAAGGGTGCGTTTGGTCTCTGTTTCTCTTTTTTCTCTATCGCTCTCTTTCTCTTCGATGTCCTTTTTGGTTTTTTTAATGGGGGGAGGGCATTTCTTTGTTTTATTGGGAGCGATTTTTTTGGGGGGGACCGGTTGCCAAGGAGGTGGGTGGCCTGCGTACGTCCGGGGTCAGTTGTACGTACAGGATGGGACGTGCGCTCCAGAGCCGATCAGATCGATCTGGGGTTCGTTGCTTGCTGATTATCTTTCGGGGGAGATAGAGCTCTCTTTTGTTTTTGGGGCCTCGCGCTGGAGGTCTCTTTTTTTTGGGGGGGGTGGGGGTCTGGGCTTTGAGGGGGGATTATTATTTTTGGGGGGATTTATTATTTTTTGTGGGGAGATAGAGGTCTCGCGCAGGAGTTTTTGGGGCTCCTCGCGCAGGAGATTGATCTCATTTTTTTTGGGGGGGGAGCTTCTGGGATGGCTGACGGTCACGGCCCTGCGTCATGTGGTGGCTGACGCCCGGCGCGATGTGGCTGGCGGACTGCGCGTATCCCCCCCTTGTGTCTGCGCATATCCCCCTGCGTACGCGAGTCCTCAGGATGCGCACCATCGTGCGTTGAGGGCCGCAGACGGCTGACGCACCCTGCACGGCGGCATGTGGCCGACTGACGCCAACTACCGAACGGGCGAGCTTCCCGACTCCCGCGCAGGGCCGTCGGCGCCCCCCTGCGCCGCGTAGCTCGTCTGTATGGCCATCATCATTACTCACCGTCCTTTCCCCCGTTCCATCATTCCCACCCAATCGTCCATCCTCCTCGCACATGAACCATACTTACTTTATCTTTTTTTTTCACGAAAAACCAGAATACATATCCACCCTCGAAGACAACATCGCCGAGCGCGACCGCCTCCTCTCCGCCATCCGCTCCGAGCTCGGCAGCTCCCAAAGCGAGAACGCAGCGCTCCGGCAGGAGATCGCCGCGCTCAAGCGCACGCTGCTCGATGGGCGGGGTGCGGGGGTGAATCTGCCGCCGCCGGCGCCGCTGCCAGCGTACTCGTACTCCGCGGGCTCGTTCTCGCCGCCCGCGTCCCTGTCGCCGTCGTCCTCGTCCCCGACATCGACGACCGCGACGTCGTTTCTCGCCGCAGCCGGGGGACCGAGCCCGCTGCTGTCGTCGACCGCCGCGCCTGCATCGCCGCTCCTCGGCGGGCCGAATATGGGGAAGGATGTTGGGTGCGTTTTTTTTCTCCCCCCCCTTCTTTGTATCTGCCGTTGCTGATAATATATATGTATATGAAGTGCGGACACGAGCCGGTTTTGGGGCGGTGCGCGCGGGGGCGCGGGGGGGTACACGAGCGTGCACACTGCGAGGATACCCGAGCTGTTGGGCGCGCAGCCGTTTGCGGCGAGTCCGTTTGCGGGGGAGCTCTACAGCGCAAGCAACTCAAGCTCAAGTCACTCGAATGCGAGTGCGCCGCAAGAGAACCTGAACCCGCTGCTCAACGGCACCACCAACACCAACAACGGCAGTGGAGGGCGCGTGGTGGAGGTGTTAAGGAGCGGGATGTTGGGCAGCGGTGGGGATGCGTTTGGGGACGCGAATCCGTTTACGGTGCGGAGTTTGGATGCGTGAGTTTTTTTTTTTTTGGTTTGGGTTTCGCCATCTCTTCAGACGCTGACGCCGTCTCTTTCTCTCTAGATACCGCATGCACCTCTGGGGCCGCATGGCGGCGCAGTACCGCTACAACAAGGAGCACCCCGCGCCCGCGCCCAACGCCAATGGGCTCACCAGCGCGTACGCCAACATCGGCGCCGGTAACAAGGCGGCGCAGCAGCAGCAGCACCTCTCGGGCCTGGCGAGCGGGCTGCGGCCAAAGTACTTTGCGTCGCCGCTGTTCCCGGCGTCGGGGCCGACAACGCTCAGCGCGGTGCTAGCGGGCAAAGGCTCCTTCGGCTCGTCGTCATCGGCGGCGTGGCGGCCGCGCGCGGACAAGGAGAAGACGACGACGGCGGACGCGAGCAGGGAGCGGGAGCGGGAGAAGGAGAGGGAGAGGCAGGAGGCGATGTATGCGGCGATGGCGGGGCAGACGCTCGTAAGGCGCCTTGGGGGCGCGTTTTGGGAGGCGTTTTCGGGCGCTTCGTCCGCGTCCGCGTCTGGGAGTGGGCATGGAAAGATGGATGCGGAGAAGGTGAGGAAGGTGTTGGAGGGACGGGCGGTGTTGAGGGTTGTGGATGTGGAGGTACCTGTGCCGGCAGCGGCAGCAGCGGCGGCGGCACCGGCAGCGACACCGAGCAAGGCAACGGCACCGGCCAAGGCGCACCAGTGCCCGACGAGCGGGAGCTTGGGGCTTCTGGAGGAGAAGATGCGCGGGCTGGGGCTGGGGAAGAAGTAGTGGGCTGCTGCAGTCCGTCTATTTCTTTCTTTCTTCATTCGTTGGCTCCGCTCCTCCTTCTATCTATCCCTCTTCTCCTTCCTCTCTCTCTGCCTACTGTATCTCCTCCACCTATGACGACCCCCGCTGCACGACCTACACGTGCATATAACGCTCCTTTCCCTCTCCATCTCGCTATATATCAAGACTCGGCTCATCATACATACATACACTCGTTTTCTTTTTTCTTCTTCTCTCCTGTTTCGTTATGCTCTTTTTCTCGCTCTTCTCTCGTATACATACTTTCCTTTCCCTCGCTCTTGTATACTCCTCATACAGTCGTCTCGTAACCACCCCCATCTCATTCAGCCCTTGTTTGTATATCTAGCGTAGTACATAGTAAAAATGGAAGCTCGTAATAATTATATTCTCATTTTGATTCGATTTGGGGTGATAAGCATTTTGGGTTCTGAGGTTTTTGGGTTTGGACGTTCAGCAAATCAGAGGAACCGCCATGGATTCTCCATTTGGTAATGCCGTGTGGGTGCGTCCAAACAAACCGAAACAAATAAAGTTGAATTTGAGTTGAACGGGTTTCCACCCCGAGTATGGCCACCATCCGGGATCTGCCCCTTGAGCTACTACTGCAAATCTTTCCCCTGTCTCAAATGCTGGCAGCGGCGTGTGCAAAGGATGGGCGCACCTCATTACAAGCGAGGTACGAGCTTCATTTGTTAAAGCGTCTGTCTACGAGAGACTAGCACCTCATCGAGGTTTCCAACATTGATCCTTCCCGCCGTGCCCTGCTTCGACTCTTCTGACACCTCATCAACTCCCCCTCGTTTCTCACGACCCGCCGTTGGTCTCTCGAACATCTT